CACAAACTTGGACTGGGCCTTTGCACTGCCTTTGCTTGAAAATCAGTGACTTTGTCTCAATAACAATGCTGTAAACAAATTGCCGACTTGTGCCCACACTCGAAAAAACAAATATTTTTACAAATAATATCTTAAAATTGTTTAAATATTTAAATCCTTGCTGTTGCTTGACTTTCACAAGACTTTGCAAGATCCTGTTTTGCATTTATAGAAACTCATTTTGCGAAGATTTTCAAAATGTAACCTTAATTTTAATTATTTAATTTCTGGTGTTTTTTAACATTTGTGCATAAAATGCTAGCAAAATTGTTAAACTTTTATTATGAAGTAAAAACTAAAAAGAGAAACATACTGAAAAAAGGGCGTTTGTCTGCATTTTTCTTAGTGTATTTGGAAGAGCTTCTGCTGCACACTTTGAGAGAGTAAGCGAAAGAGTGAGAGAGAGAGTGAGAGAGAGAGAGAGTGAGAGAGAGAGAGAGATCGCAGCCAACTCGCGTGTCCCTGGCTGCCATTTTTCCAAGCCCAAACGACAGCCACTCACAATGGAAGTGAAGATCAGCGAAAGAGAATCGTTTTATTGCCACATTTATGTGTCGAATACCTGACGACTGCCACACTGCCTCCCTGCTTCTCCTTCTCCTGCGTCTGCTTCTGCTTCTGCTGCTCGATCGGCAGCACTGCATTTATATTGCAGCAATTTCGTATCAATTGAATGTTTTCCACGAATCCGCATTGGCCATAAAGCGCGTCGCGTGGAGTAGGAAGGACAATCCAGCCAAGCAGCCAAGCAGCCATGCAACAAACAGAACCAGTACACGAAACTGACGACTTCTTAGCTCGTTGCACATATTTCCATTTGCTGTTGCTGTTGCTGTTTATGCCAATTTTTATGCGCTTCACCTTCACTTTGCCCATTCCCTGTCCCTGTCCCTGTCCCTGTTCCAGTCCCAATTTCCATTTCCATTTCCCTTCTCATAACCATTCCCGTTTATTGGCCTCGGCCGGCGTCTTTTTGTCATCGACAAATTCACGTGTAAAACATGCCTCAAGTTTTGTCTTGGCTTCGGTCTGCGCGTGCCCGCGACTCCTTTTTGTCCAGTTCCTGAATTTACATTGAAGGTACGTCCTCCAGGCAGTGTTGCAGTGTTGCAGTGCTGCGCACGCGCCTCTTTCAGCCAAAATCAACTCATGTGCAAACAAAACACAAGAATTGTTATTGACCCATTGTTGATTCTCTTAAATTGTAGGCGCACGAATCAACTTCCTGCCACTTAAACGCCAAGCCAAGTTTGTTGCATGACCTTGTCGAGGTGGCTCTTAGTGTTGCCTGTTTATAAAAGATTCAAAATTAAATTTACCAATCGGATTGAGAAACAATAAATCGAAACTGTAACTTTGTCTGGTAGTCAAGATAGATTCATCTTTTCCATATTCAGTCAGCTCTTTACAAATTCAAGAATATTTTATTCATAATCATCAAACGGCAGTTAATCAATTGAAGTTCAACAACCAAGCCAATTTCCACTATCTTTATCAACTGATTGCTAATCCGAGAGTTCCTGCTCATCAAGTAAACATGCTCGACAACAACCCCATTTGTCGGCATTTTCTGTAAAAATTGAAAAAGTTTTCAAGTATCTATGACTTGTTATAATTGCACAAAGAATGTCTGGCACTGCTATCTATCCACATTATTAGTATTCAAGTTCGATTTCAGCTCTGGCATTAGATGCATAAGTTACGGGTTTACAGGTGCTTTAGCTGTTGCACTCTGGAAATGGGAATGGTTAACGTTTGATAAAAGTATCTTTAATAGTTCTTATAAACGTCAGTCAGCAACTGTTTGAACTGAATTGTGATTACCTCGAGTACCCGCTGGCAATGGCAATGGCACCTGCACCAGACACCATCGAATCAATTCAAGTAGCGCGTGTACCACTCCAGTTGCATGTATAGATTGCGGTGCATTGGGCAGGCAGGAAAAGGCAGCTCCAACTCAACAGTGAGCTGCAGCCAAAATGCACTCGAGAAATGTGCAGTTGCAGCAGTTATCGTTTTGACACTCTGGCGCTGAACAACTGGACAACTGGACAACTGCGAGAAGTGACCGGCTACCCGTCATTGCCATTGTCCGGTGGCACGAGTTCGATAAGCGACGGGAGACACCCAGTCCCCGCCCCTATTTTGTCTTTATCCAGACCTTAATTAGATCTGGGGCGAGCCCCTGCGCCTGCTGCTGCTGCTGCTGCTGCTGCTGCTCCTGCTCCTGCTCCTGCTCTTTGGGCAGCTGTTTGACTGTCCAGTCCTGCTGCGCACACATGTCGCCCTCTTGTATTGTGGACACTGCTAATCCAGGGCATCGATGTGTCTGAGCGTCCGAGCGTTGGAGCTGCCAGGCGACAATCGAGCAAACAGCCAGACAAATGGGCAAACAAATGGCCAACGTATGTGTCCTTAAACGCACCAAATTGGATCATAACTGCAAAATGTCGAAATCTGCACAAACAGCGCTCTAATTAAGTCCAGCAGCGAGGCCCATTAAAAGGACAAAGGATGTGCCATGAGCCCACAAAACCAGCACAGAAATCTATCTATCTATCTGTGTATCTATCTATATATGTATCTATCTGGCAAGCAGCGGGCCCATCAAATGGGCGTCCATTAAAATTGTACAAACTCTGTCAACTCTGACGTCAGCGGGTGATTTGTGGGGTGTATTGACTTCATATGTGGCAATTTGTTACTAATAATGAAATCTTGCGCAAATATATATATATATATATGTGTTGAACTTATAGATTACAAGAGGATTCCAAAATTAGAAATTGACATCAACTTAACTGTGTAAATCTATAAGGGTGGACCTCTTTGATATTTGAGTGTCACTTTAATATGTAACCGCCAAGCCTTCGAATAAAGTCAACTAAGATAGTGAAAACTATAAAAAAGAACCTCTTTTAAATTAAGAGGTTCTTGAATAAGTATATTTACTTCGTAATTACTATGTTTAAGGGTAAAAAGTGAATGATTTTCTTTAAAAAATGTGAATGGTTCTTGTAAAAAATCGAAGCATTGCCCAAAATATAGATTCTACCCAATTCCAGATGTAGGAAAAAAAGGGTGCAACATAAAAACGAGTATTTGGAACGCGTCTGTCTGTGTGTGTGTGTGTGTGTGTGAGTGTGTGTGTGTGTGATATGTATGTGGTATGTTTTCGGCGATATCGGGGCAATCTGTAAGTGTGTTTATAGGGGGCGTCGTTGAAACTACCGAGAGTCAGCTAACAGCCAGCCAGCCAGGCAGTATAATGTTTCCCATGGGCATCGACTTATCGCGAGCACTCTCTGCTCGGAGCCTGTTCACTTTTAATTGCTCTGTTTGCTTAAATATAATTTTACACACACTTTGACTTCCCTGCCCCGCTCGGTGGTTGTTCTTTTTTATCGTAAAAAACACTTACGAGCATTGTTTAAGGTTGGCATTTTGGCTCTTATCGAGTGCTTGTGGCCCAATCGGCGCACTCGATGTGTCGCCCTGAGAAGTGGGTCGTTGACAACGCCCACAATCGCAAGCAACACACAATCACACACTCAATAAACCACCGACACCACCCTCCCCCACAAGTGGAGGCGCCTCAAGTGTGCGTCAGGCAACCAAACTGCAGAAATCCCCCACTTGCAATGCACTTTATTTTACAGTCAGCAATCTTATGACCACTCCCCGCTCTCCTCTCTCTCTCTGGTCCCTCTTGTGCCTCTTGCTGCACTTGTCCGCATTTAGGGGCAGATGTATTTGCAGCTGCAGCTGCAGTTGCCAGTCGAATTGCATTTTGTCTGTCAATTACAATTATTATTGTAGCGCCTCTTCGACTCATCGCTTGCGGTTTCAATTAACGCTTCCTACTGTCCATTATCTATTGTTTGTCGGGGCGTTGTCCAATTCAATTGGACCTACAAAATATCTTAAGGCCTTTGCCTTTGCACAAATTGCAGAATTACATTTGGCTAAATACGTCTTTCAGCTATCTTATTAGCAATTAATTCCATTATAATATTTAACAATATTAACTGACTAATCGAACTTAAGGCAAACTAGTTTTAATACGTATTGGTCTATATAGATATTAAAATTACCACTTTAAACTTGAACATATAAGAAATTAACCGATTTTCTTGCGAAATTTTGTTTGGGTTTCTGGAAAAATACTACGCTTAAATTGGAAACACCTTTTTTGGCGACTCTCGTTTAATGTTTCCGACTAACATAACTCTTTAAAAACCGAATCGAAACCATAGTCGAAACCCCATTTAAATTTTGAAACAGAATTTTCGATCGAGGATCATGTACAAATTCAAAGGTTAAAAAAGGCACTTTGGGAGGTGTCCAGTCATATTAATCATCAATCGATTACATTCATTGCATTCCAAAAATATTCATTTGCAGATGGCTATTAATCATAGCAATGCTCAAGCCAATAATACAGATTAGGTTGATGCATTGGCAGATAATAGATCATAAGTCATCCAAGTCCTTATGGATTTTCAAAAGAATTGCAAAAGAGCCAGATCTATCGAACTGCATTCGCGTATTATTAAGTCACTTGGGTAATTAATGTCGCAGCTATTTAAATTATCTTGTATTATCTCACAAAAACTAATATATTTTTACTCAGCACATTTAAATACAAACGGCTTTCTTAGCGCCATCTATACTTCGTTATATTAAAAGTAAAGGCTTTTGCGCCACAGGTATTTTGGACAGCCACACAAAAAAAAAAACGTAGCCCGCAAAGTATGCAATAAGCTTTCATGGCAATGAGCTTGATTGAAAGCACCTTAAGGTATGCAATATATATTTAATTTTGATCGATAACACTGCCAGTGTTACCACAAGAAGTGCACACTTGAAATTCAGAACAAGTGCAACTGCAATTTGATACGTCACATGGACAAGCAATCAAATTAACCACAACAACAATAGAAAATCGGAAAGAATATAAACCTTTATCAGGTCAGGTGTTGGGTAATCATGAAACGAGTGAACGTCGCGTTAACATTCAATCGAGAGCAGCGCAGCGATGACGACGCGAAAAGCAGAGGAGAGCAAACGCTTAGCGTTGATTGTTTTATATTGTGCGGTGTTAAGTGGTGCAAGTGGCGGGGCAAGTGGCGGAGCAAGTGGCGGGGCAAGTGGCGGGGCAAGTGGTGCTGCTGGTGTCGAAGCTGGCAATGTGCTGGCTGTGTTCCCTCACTTTGGCTACAGCCACTTTAAGGTGGCGCTGCCCATATTAAATGAACTCTCGCGACGCGGTCATCATTTGACTGTCATTTCATATGTGCAAAATCCGGAGGCGCCTCAATTGGCGAACTATGAGCAGCTGCTGCTGTCGAGTGCCACCGAGGATCAGTCGAGTACAACAATCAATGTGGTGCCACTGTCAGAGCACACGCCCACCCGTTCCCTCAAAGTGCTGCTGCAGGAATATTACGATCTTTACGGCAATGGCCAGATCTCGTGTGAGCTGCTCTATGCCAGCGGCCATGTGGAAACGGTGCTCGAGCGGCACAAGCAAAAACCCTACGATCTGCTGCTCACTGAGTACTTCAGCACAGACTGCCAGCTGAGCCTGGCGAAGCTGTTGGAGTTGCCCATCATTGGTCTGAGCACGTGTGCATTGATGCCCTACTATTATGATCGCATCGATCTGCCGGATACGCCCGCCTATGTGTTGTCCGAATTCGTGGGATTCAAGCAGCCATTGAGCTGGAGCGAGAGACTGCTCAACTTTGCCCAGGCCAAGCTGTTGAAGTTGATCTACAGACTGCACACGAATCGAGCAGATAATGCGCTTATCAAGCGGCATTTGAACTTGGACATCGATGTGGACGCAGTGGCGCGTAACCAGACTGCGTTTATATTGGGCAATCAACACTACTCCCACATGGGCAGTCGTCCGCGCACGCAACAGTTCCTCGAGGTGGGCGGTGTGCACATCACCCACGAGTCCCAGAAGCAGCTGACTCCGAAAATTGTGCAATTTCTGCAGCAGTCCAAGCACGGCATCATCTTCATTAGCTGGGGCTCCATGGTGCGTGCCTCCAGCATTGATGATGACAAACTGACGGCTATTATCCATGTGCTGCAACAGTTGCCCTTCAATGTGATTTGGAAATGGGAGGCGGAGGAGCAGCCCAAACCACAACTGGATGCCAGCAAGTTTCTGTTTGTGAAGTGGGCGCCACAGCTGGCTCTGCTGTGTAAGTTGACAGAGTGATCCTTTAATCCTTTACTCATGCTATGCCTCTGCTTCCCTTTTAGGTCAGCCGCAGGTGCGTCTGTTCTGGGCCCATGCTGGTTTGCTGGGACTCACGGAGGCGCTGCACTGCGGCAAACCACTGCTCATGACGCCCATCTACGGCGATCAGTTTCTGAATGCGTTTGCGGCCCAGGATCGTGGCGTGGGCATAAAACTTGACTATCAGCAAATCAATGTGGATACACTCCAGCAGTCGCTGCAGGAGCTAAGCAAGCCCAGGTGCGTTAAGGATTGAGTAGATGCAACTTTCATCCATTAATTATTATTTTGGTATTTATAAATTCATTTAGAAATTTATTTCCACTGCAACTGCAACTTTATTTTGTATATTTATATTTTACAGCTATGCGGAGCGTGCCTTGAAACTGTCACAGGTGTTCAATCAGCGTGAACGATCTCCGTTGGAGACCGCAATTTGGAGTGTGGAGCATGTGTTGCAACATGGCCAGCTAGCCGTTGAGCTGATACGGTCGCCGGGCATAGAGTTGAACTGGTTTGTTTACCATTCACTGGACTCACTGGCAGTGATCTTAGCCGCGCTGCTGCTGCTGCTGGTCAGCTGTCGTGCCCTGGCCATGCCCAAGAGCCAAGCACCGCCCAAGCCACAACGCAAGTCCAGAAAGGCTAGGAGGTCTAATACATAGTTTTAATTGTGAATTTCTGTTAACGCAAATATAAAAATAAAATGAAATATTTTATAAAAATTAATAACGTCCACGCTGCATGCAGTCGCGTCGGCATTCCTCATAGGTCAGGAAATTGTTCTCCGTTGAGGCACAGCCCGTATAATAGAAGCTCTCACAGTTGCCCGTCTCCTTGTTGTAGGCATAGCGCAGCTGCCTGCCCCTACACAATCCCGGTGCCTTGGGCTGTTTGCAAGCTATCAATGGAGACGAGCATTAGCTTAGATTTGTTCTTGTTTTAACTATAGTTTTACAGCTCACCGATCAGTTGCTTGACTTGCTCATGCGTTTGGTTCTCCAGGCGCAGACTTAGGCTCAACGATAAAGATAACACCAGAAGCAGGCACATTAAACTCCAGCTGGGCATCATGATTCTGTTTGCGTTCCTTAATATATTGTTTATTATTGGGAAATAAACATAGCTTTATACGATCTCCGCTGATTTGTGCTGGTCTCAGCAGAAGTCGCTTCTTAAGTTACTTAATTTTTCCGTTCCGACTGGTTCTAGACGTGCACGAAGCGAGCTATCTGCACAGAAGAATATTCTCTATAAAGTGCTGAAGCTATTGACGGATTTTGCTCAGCTTTCTCTGGATTTTTTTTGTTTTAATTTTGGATTAGGTCTCGTTGCGCACGTAGCCGAGTTTTGTTTATTTCCATTTGACTTTTATTTGCAACTGTTTTATTTTGCTGCTGTGCATATGCACCAGAATTGCATTCAGTTCTCATTGAGTTAAAACGTGAGTTTTTGCAAGAAAGTCAACCGATCTTCGAGTGGATCGAGTGCTCAAATCCAGGAAGCGCAAACATGAGTTAAATATTGCCAAGAGATGTTGACTTGCTATAAAGTAGTCAGAGGTATCTTTCTCTCTGCTTGATAACATTGCTTTTCTCATTCACATATCGCTCACATAATAATTCAACAGGTTGTTAAAGGCGCATAAATTTGTTATTTATTAAGTTTCTAGCTGAATTTACTTAAAAAGAAGTCAATTTAAAAAAAGCGACACATTGTACGCATTAAAATATAGAAATAATGATGTCTAAGCCTAATGATTGAAGAATAATTAGAATATTGATCCACAAGTGCTTAGAGCCATTACAAATGACAGACAGTTTGTAGAAAACAAAGAAGTAAAATTAATTGTTATGGTCATGAGGGTATTGGTCATATAATTTCTTAAACAAATTTGCTTACAGACTATAAGGCAACCCGATTTGTATCTATATGGGTGTATGTGTGTGTGTGTGTGTGTTTGCACTTGGTACATTTAACAAATATTATTGTAATTTTTACATAGTTAGATGGAGAAAACAATTTACACAATGCACATGGATTGACGAGAGCAATGCCAATATGCACAGGAACCTACTTACAATTTCTATATTGATATCCAATGAACTAGAAAATATAGATTTCTCAATCTTTACATAATAATAGTTTATAAACTCGTTAGTAAATTCATATTGTTGCACAATTTAATCGTGATACCTCAGATCGCTGTGACAATGAGCTGCTTTCTTGAGCTGTTTCAATGCGTGTGTGTGTGGTTGTCTGTGGGTGTCTGTGGTTGTCTGTGGTTGTGTGTGGATATGGACTTTTATGATGCGGACCCTAGGCGATGCGACTGCTACTTTTGGGGCTCAGCTTTCGTTCATCAAGCCGGACCCTGACTATTGCTTTGGCGTACAAAAATGGCGCACTAGTTAAGACCGTTCAGATCGTTTCATCGTCGTTATTTTCACAAATTGTAGCAGCTACGCGACTAAGGTCTCCAGAGAGAGACAGAGAGAGAAAGACAGAGAGCAGCGTCAACATATTCCCATACGTCGTCTACATTTAGAAATCCTTATCCCAGCCGCTGACATCATCGGGTGGCGGTCCTTCCGGATCGGCCGGATAGTCATCGAAATTGGTCGTATCGACAACGCTCTTTACGCTCGGCTTAATCGGCGGCTCCAGCGAACCATTCTGCAGACCCCACCAGTAGAAGCCGTCAAACCACCTGAATTGAAAGTGGAAAATTACATTTTTAATAAGAAATTTACTGCAGATAGATTTTTGACAAAATTGTACTGACTTGTGTTTCTGTATCTCGCTAATACCGCCTCGCTGATAGCCCAAACGCTCGGCGGGATTATCGCGACAGAGTTTCTTGATCAGATTGCTGGCGTTGCGCGTAATGTTGCGCGGAAATTCGATGGCATCGATGCCCTTAAGTATTATGTTATAGGTGCGCATCGGATCCGAACCCGTAAACGGTGGAGTACCTGCAAAATTTAACGAAAGTTTAGTAAGCAAAAGAGTTATGCATTCGCAATTCGCCTTGTCTTACCCGTTAGGAGCTCAAACATGAGCACACCGAGCGACCAGTAGTCGGCGCTAATGTCATGGCCACGATTCAATATCACCTCGGGTGCCACATATTCGGGCGTGCCACAGAATGTCCACGTTTTGCGGCCCGTTTGCAGTTTCTTGGCAAAACCAAAGTCTACAAGCTTCACATAGCCCTTCTCGTCCAGCAGCAGATTCTCCGGCTTCAGATCCCTGTAGATAATGTTGCGCGAGTGCAGATAGTCGAATGCCTCCACTACGCAGGCCGTGTAGAATCTCGTTGTGGCATCATCAAAGTTGCCCTTGTCCCGCAATATGGTCCAGAGCTCTCCGCCCAGGCAGCTCTCCATCAGCATGTACAGGTATTTCTTGTCCTTGAACGTCTTGAACAGCTTGACTATAAACTGGCAATTGGCCTCGCCCATGATCTCCTTCTCTGACATGATGTGCTGCTGCTGGCGCGTCTCCACAATCTGTGACTTCTTCATCTGCTTGAGGGCAAAGGAGCGCGAATTATCGCCATTCGTTTGCACCAGCTCAACGCGTCCAAAGCCACCCACACCCAATGTGGCAATCACACGCAAATCTGTCAGATTAATGTCGCGGAACTCCTCATTGATTCTGTTCAAGGAAATAACAACAACAAATAATTAATAATCAGTGTTGTACCAAGGCGTACAGCGGACTCACTTTCTGCGCTCCAAGGCACCTTCGTCGTCGTAGCGATGCTTGATCTCATCCAGACTCGAGATCAGCTGATTGAATGTCTCGCGATCAATGACCAAACAGCTGACACCCTCAGGGGATTCACAAATAATGTTGGCTGTGCGCATATCCTCACTACAGCAAACAAAAGCATTTAATTAGCTTCGATTTTTATTCATTATTCCATTTGTGACTTACCCTTGGAGGGCTTTCTCGCCAAAGAAATCACCCTTGCCAAGCATTCGTATGAACTTCTCCTCCTGCGTATCCTGCTGCTTGATCGTCACCTTCACCTTGCCCTTCGATATGATGAAGAAGGTGTCGCCTCGTGCTCCCTGCCGCACAATGTAATCACCGCGCTGATAGTGCGTCTCCTCCAGGACATCGGAGATTTTGATTAGAGTATCCTCGGCCAAGTCTTTGAAAATGGGAACGCTGAAATGGGTAACATGTTTAATTGTAATATTCAAAGTGCTGCTAATAGTTATAGTTATAGTTATAGCGCTTTAAGTGCTGACAGATTTCTATTAATCAATTTTATTGGAATTTGCAATCAAAGAAAACTATTAACATTATTATGAGTTTACATCAAATCTCGACGTTAATAAAAGTTTATGCAGAAATGGCCATATATCAAAAACAGCTCAAATTAGTTCCCCCACTAAAAGAGATAAATGTAAAGCAATCAAATAAAATTACTATGACGAAGTCGTCGCCGGGGGGGCATTTCCCATACAGGAGTCTTTTTTTTATATTATTATTATGATTTTTTTTATGTTGCATGTTAATTAGCCCACAGGCAGTATAGGAATTCTTTGTAAGGCGGCAGTAAATAACAAACATGTCTTTAAACAGGAGATGGTGTCAAGTTAATCCGAATCTCTTCTCTATATCTCTCTCTCTCTCTCTCTCTGATATCTCTCAATAACTAGATTAGTTTATAGAAATAGTGTTTCTTTAAGACAGTAACTTATTAATTTCATCAGTTCCCCATCCATGTGGCGCCCGGAGCAGTGCATCATCACTTTCATAGCGCAACGTGTAAGTCCAATCATTCAACACGCCCCCAAATGGTGCACTTTCATTTTCGTTTGGTGTAATGTGCATTTGGGTTTTTCTTTAATTTTTGTATTTTGTTGTTGTTGTTTATGTTTTTTGCGCAATTTCATGCTTCAAATGGGGCTCCATTAATGATGGCCAGATGCACACACAAAAAAACAACACCATCAAATGGTGAGTGGGGGTGGGGAGGGGATGGAATGAGGTGTTTCAAAGGCGCTGCTACCCTGCACGCGGGCCAATTAAATGCGATTAATTTGTCGGTCAGTCACGGCGCCAGCTCTGACAGAGATCAGAGTGGCTGGCTTATAGTCTAAAACTGGTTGCCAACTCGTGGGCACTTTGATGGAAAGCAAACAGAAAACATTTCTATGCGTTCGTTGGCCGGCGCACGATCGATGTCTGTCCGTCTGTCGGTCTGTGTGTCTGTCTGTCTGTCTGTGTGTCTGTCGTCTGTCGATCCGTCTCATTTTTGAGCAGTGCCCGTCATCATAATAGACGTATATGAGACGCCCATGACCATGACGCCGCCATCGTCTGATGTTGATGTTGATGCCGATGCCGATGCTGTTTGCCCATTTCGCGAAGTGAAAGTTGCACAAAAACAAAGTCCAAAATAATAATAAAAACAAAATCCTTAAGCAAAGCAGCGATTAATATGAATATGTACATACCAAAAATAAATAAAAAAAATTAAAAGAAATAAATAAATAACTTGGTCTGAATTGATATAATTAAGTGCAAATGCAATAACAACCAGTTGCAATGCAACTAATTGCTGTGGCAGTTGCAACAGCAATCAGTTGATCATATCGCTAGAGGAAATGTGAAACAAAAAAAAAACAATAAAAAAAAAATAGCCAAGCTTATCTAAATCAAAGTACAAACCTCTTGAGGAAATCCGTGTACTCCGCCTGTCGGATGAGGCCGGTGCGCATCATGATCGTCTGGAAGCATTGACGCTCAATCGCCCACAGATTGCACTCGCTGATCGCTGTGATTGTCGCCGTCCTCTGGCAGTTGTACAGTATTGCCAATTCGCCCAGTACCTTGGCGCCAGAGAGTGTGGATAGATATTTACCCTCGCGTGAGACCTCGACGCGTCCATCTGAAACAAAGGCGCGTTTGAAGTTGATTGATTAAACACAGAATTGAAAAGCGAGAATTTTGCATTGGCAAACTGCGAGAAAAACTAGAAAAGCAAATAAATCCGTTTGTCGCTGATATTCGAAGAGAGCTGCTCAACTTTCAGCATTAGCATCAATAACAAGTATCAATGGAATTTGTATTTGAATCAAGTAATGGGAGCAGAATCAGTTTCACAGAAACAGCCAAACAGAAATCGTAAGCAATTTTTATACTTTCAGCTAATCTCGCAGAGAAGCATTTGACACCCCTCCGAGAATTTCTAATATTTTCGCTGCCTTTGAAGTGGTTTGTTGTTACAGATAGAAGCTAAACCTGCAACTCTTCAAATGAGCAGACTCAAGACCAGAAAAACCAGTCAGCATTAAATACATATAAGATCTAATGGTGTTGATCACATTTTGGCTAACAAAACAAGGATTAAATTGGGGAATTGTAACAAGATCGCAAACTAGAATGCTTAGAAGAGAAGTCGGATTGGCAAGGCTTTCGACTCTTTCATATCTTGCACGCCCCCCAAAGAGATTCCCCTCTCGACTCCTTACCACTGGTGAGCTCCTCGTCCTGTGCCGTTGAGGATTGCTCCTTGAGATTGCCGGTGCGACGTCGTCGCGCATATGTGTGCACGGGCACAATGAGGCGTGGCCGGGGTATGCAGAAGCCCTCGCCATTGAGATCCTTGGAGCTGCCATTGCTGCTGCCCGCAGGCGAGATTTGTAGTTGCTGTTGCTCCGGCTGCCTGACCACCAACTGTTGCTGCTGCTGGTGCTCCTCCTCCAGCTGTAGTCCCTGCAGCGCCTGCTCTAGGCTGTGGCGCCTCAACGCTGGCGTTTGCCTCGATTCGCGCTCGGCCGCACGACAAAAGGACGCGGAGTGATTGGGCATTCGAATGGTGGCATAACGCTGAACGCTCGTCTGGGATCTGCTGAGCGGCTTGAAGGCACGCTGTTTTGTGGCCACGACTGGAGGAGCCGGTGGTGGTTCGATGGGTGGTGGCAGCAAACGCAACGGCTGCTGGCAGATGACCCGCTCCGGCCGTTGATCCTCGGCGGCGGAGGAGGAGAATGTGGAGTAGGCGGAGGAACTGTTGCTGTTGCACTGTGGCAATTTGGCGGGCAGCTTGGGATGACGCAGCGTCACATAACTGGGATGAGGATGAGTCGTCGATGGGGGCTGAGATTGAGACTGATGTGGGTGGCGCGACTGATGCTGCAGCATGGTCTGTGAGCGACGCAACGAGGGCGGCTTGACAGACACCTGTTGGCGTGGGCGTGGCACACGCTGACGTTCCGTCGGATCCATCACATAATGATTGACAACACTGGCCTCCGCTTGTGGATGAGTATTTACTTTAATTGGCTCCTGCTGCTGGTCGTGCTCCTGCTCCTGCTCCTGCTCCTGTTCATCCTCTGCTATCCAGCCATTGTGCAGTTGTTGCTGCTGATGATGCTGCAGCGCTGAGGGACGATAGCCATTCAGCTCCTTGATGGCGCTCACAATACGCCGATCCTTAGACTCCAGCTGCCTGATGCTCTCCAGCGTCATCTGATACTTGCTCAGAGCCGAGATGCCATTGAGCAGAAAACTGCTGCTGCCATTGTTGTTGTTGTGGCTGATGTTGTTGTTGATGTTGCCCACATTACTTGGCTGCCGGCCGAGTTTGTTGGCCATCGTCGTCGCAGCTGGCGTTGATATGATCGGTGTGGGCGTGGCAGTGGGTGCACTGTGATGCTGATGATGCGCCTGCAGCCAGTTGGCCTCGTAGAGGGCACCCATGGCGCTGTCGCTCTCCAGCGAGAGACTTGCGTCGACGGCTTTGCCCGGATAATGTTTGATTTTCATGTTGTTTTGTTAATTTGCCTGCTTTTAGCTTTTAGCTTAATTTCTTTTGGCTCGCCAATTTCACTGTTGGCCCAGCGATGACGACAACGCTGACAAATTTGACGTGATTTGTTTTGTTAGTTAAAATACGCGACTTGGCGACTTTCGTTGTTGTTGTTGTTGTTGTTGCTGTTGCTGTTATTTGTAGTCTTTTGCATAACAACCGAGCCATGAAATTCGCGCTTGGAATTTTGACGAGTCAGTGGAAGACAGAAAAAACAATGTAAGCAACAAAAAACCAACACTTGGCACTTGGCACAACAGCCTAATTGTATTTGCTTTTCTATTATTTATATTACCAAAGCGATTTGTTATTGTCATTGTTGCTGCTGTTGTTGCAGTTGTCATTGTTATTGTTGCTCATGTTGCAAACTTTCCAAGCTTGTCGCTTGCCTCACTTGTGTGTGTAATGTGTAATTATATATGTATGTAGTATAAACAAAGTCAACGGTTCGTTTTGTTTTGTAAAAGCGAAGCTTAAAAAATCAAACCGCACCCAAAACTGAACTGAAACAGAGCCAATATTTATGGACCCCACTGATTACTCCTCTCTCTCACTCTCTCTCTATCTCTCTCTCTCTCTCTCTCTCTCTCTCTCTCTCTCTCTCTCTCTCTATAGATTTAAAAACTTGAGCAAAGCGAAATGAAATAATAACAATTAGCCTTTGGTGTAAATTATTTTTGTGGCAATTTGAATAAGCGTGTGAATGATTGAATCGCGACTCTTTGAATAATCGAAAATAGCCCTGAAAGTGTGAAATACGTCAACAAATGAATTAAATGAATGAAATAGAGCATGTAAAAAACATATATGACTCAACTGGTGACAGTTCAACAAGCCAACATAGAAAATACCATAGTTAAGAGAACTGTGACCAATCAGCGAAAAATAATTGGGAAATAATCGTTACTTGAACGCTCAATAAATAGATTTAAAAACGCAAATAATACTAATAATAATACTAATAATCTTTTTAAAGACCATTTCATAGGAAAACTGTGCGCTACGTAAGCATTAAGGCAAAAGCAAATTAAACAACTTTTTGTGAAGTAGAACGTAACAAATTATTTTCAATGCATTGTGGCAGGAGAGGAAAAGACAAAACAAAAAGAAATTTAACAATGCTGCCAATATCTAGCTATTTGCAGGCCTAAGAAAATGGATGCATTAGTGAATACTTAACTTTCCAGTTTATAAGCGAGTAAGGCAAGTCATCATGCATCAAGCATTTAATGGCGCTGTCATTTATCGGATGAAAGTAAACTGGTCTGTGATCTGTGATCAGTTCGAAAAAAAATCTAATGTAAAAAGACAGCAAAAGTTAAGCGAAGAAAATGCATATTGATATTGAAATCATTTGTAGTTGCTCGCAAGATAGTTCGATCAGCAAATAATCAACTGAAATGTTAAATGATCATTGAAGAAAAGCCGATAGGCGATTCGAAAAAAAACCCACAAGTGAAAAACCCCCCGCACTTTTCAGTGGGGAAATACCCTATATATATTCAAAACAATTGAATGACATCAAGTGGAATTCTCGCTCTGTAAATTGCTAAAGACTGATATGCTACTTGAACTCAGGCTCAAATCTTTTTTTGAACTCTCAAGTCGCCTCAAAAATGTCTCATTTCCATTTGAGCATTTGAATGTGAGTAAAAAATAAATAAAAACCAAAAACGAAGAATTAATGACTAAGGTTAACCAACAAGCACCGCTGAGCCTTGTTTGCCAGCAATTGATTCTATCAATCAGTAAACAAATACAAATGTTTCTCATATTTGTTGTTTGCACTAACTATTTGCGAGACGAAGCCAAAAACAAAACAAAAAAAAAACATTTTTGCGAGTGAATGGAACTGTGTATGCTTATCAGGAACACAGCCGCGGGCCGCAGCACTGCAGCTGATAAGAGGCGAGAGACAACACGGCAAGAATTGACGGCATCGATGATAAACACAGCTGCCATGGGAGCTGCTAAACAACAAAAATAAAACAACAATAAAAAAATAACAATATTTTCATGCTGCTTTCAAATCAATGGAAATATTTTGTATTTAATTTTTTTTTGTGCAGTTCCAAAAACTAGTTTTGTTAATTGAAAGGTGCTGCCAAAAGGGGACATAGTTCAAAGAGTTTTCGATGAGCGTTGTTCGAGGGCAGAGGGGGGTGGGGGAGGGGAGGCTGGTGAGTGGGGCAATGCGGAAATCCGTCACGCAACGTTAAACAATTTGAACAAACAATCAGCAAATGCAGCTGGCCAAAAGATTTTGCAATGGCTTTAACGAAACTGCTGGGCAAGGTCAACAAGTTGGCTAAGCTGGTATATCCGACACTCCCCTCACCCCCCTCCCCCCTCAACCTCCTTTGCTGTCTTGCTTAGTCTGCGCCGGATTTGAATACAATCGCAAGAATTTGCAAAGCCGTTTCAAGCTTTAGCGGCTCAACATTTGACTCTTTGCTGTGGCTATTTATACATCGTAACGGTGTCTGAACCAGCGCCCAGTCTATTTTTCTCTGTCTCTGTCGCTCTTTTTCTGTGTCTGCCTTTCAGCGAGTTCGCCTTAATTAAATTGAAGTTAGTCACAGGCAGTCGCTTATGTGCCAAGGGCAAAAGTTCCATAATTTTGTTTCACTTCATGTCTTGATTTTATTTTCTGCCTGACAGTCTGCAATTACCCATAAAAAAGACAAACACGAAATCTGTCTCTCTCTCTCTCTTCCCATCCTCTCTTTTGCACGTTACAGTTGCACATTAAAAATGTCATCGACTGAGTCACTTTTACTGCTTAGGTTGACCGCCTTTTTAATAAATATTATTTCTTTGCCCATATAACTTGTAATAATAAATATTCATGGCTTCTTTTGTTTGTCTGTGCTTATAAAGAAAGCTAAAATTGATTGACATTTGTAGGTAGGTAGTGAAAAAAAGATCGTAAATCGATGTTTTTTTATTTATTTTTTGTAAGTTTGTTTTGAGATTGTTGTCGAACCAGAATCATCGTGAGCTCATTTGCAACAGCTATTTTTTAATGTATTTTTTTATAACTGCGAATTGGACAATGGATAGCCACATCTATAATA